GTTACCAATCCAGTATACAAATGGCACCATATGAAGCACTTTATGGTAGAAAGTGCAGAACCCCCTTAACTTGGGTTGCGGTAGGAGAAAGACAACTAATGGGCCCAGAACTGGTGGAGGAAGCAACAGAGAAAATCAGATTAATTAGAGACAGATTAAAAGCTGCTCAGGATCGCCAACAAAAGTATTATGACCCCAAGCACAGAGCAGTAGAGTTTGAAGTGGGTGACTTTGTATTCTTGAAGGTTAAGCCTATGAAGAGTATAGCTAGATTTGGTAAGGGAGGCAAATTGAGTCCTAGGTTTATTGGACCTTTTGACATTGTTGAAAGAATTGGAAAAGTTGCTTATAGACTTGCTCTTCCAGCTGACATGTCAGATATACATAACGTTTTTCATGTGTCACTGCTAAGGAAATGGGTTACCGATCCCATCAACGAATCTCACATGATGATATTGAGCTACAGAAGAATCTAACTTATACGGAAGAACCCGAAAGAATACTAGATTTTGATAGTAAACAGCTCAGAAATCGTAAGATATATTCCTTATGTTAAAGTAAAATGGAAATACATACCAGAAAAAGAGGCAACATGGGAGAGAGAAGAAGATATTAAACTTAAGTTTCCTCAATTATTTGACAACTAAGGCACTGAATTTCGAGGATGAAATTTACAAAAAGGAGGGGTGAATTATAATACTCTCAAAAATATTTAAAATAATTAAGCTTCAACTTCCTCTAAATGTTAGCTTATTTTTATATACATTCCACTTTAATTCCAAGCATTTTACTTCTATAAATACTAATTGTTTAATTGATTGTATTTAATTGCAGTTTATGGTTTTAAATGACAGCTAGATTAAAGGCTAAGTATTAGTAAATTATTTAATACTATGTACTTCAATTACTGTAGCAATTCCACTTAAACCAACATGCATAAAGCTGATGGAAATCCTATGGCTGAGAAGGTTTAGTGGAATTAGAAGGGTTATTATAGTGTGATTTATTCTGTGGAGACATTAGCTTCTTTTCCCCACCCGTCCCTCCTTGGACATCGGAAGCCAGCTTCAAGCTGAGTAGCGGGAGCCACTTGTTGAGGCTGCTGCTGTGAGATGCTTTGAAGGAGGATTTCAGATAATAAATTTGTGAAATCTAGTTGTTGGAATTCAATAAAATGCTGAAGTTGGTTGTGCGGAAGAGTGGTGGAAATTGATGCAGGCTAAGTTGATGTAACTGGTTACTCTTTAGGTTGAAAAAAAAGGTAATGAGGGAAAGTGAAGAAAGGAGACTTAGGAGAAGAGAGGTCACATTGGGGTGAATGAAGAAAAACATCTTTGAGATAAACTTATAAGATTTTCATATAAATTATTATATGTTATTTGAATGCATATTTGAATGATCAACAATTATGATTTAGATTGTGTATATAAAAGGAAAGGAGGCAATGGTACTTTAGGAGAACGAATTGACCCGACTTCCCTAGAGAACGAGGTGAGATATCCAAACAAGATTATAAGAATTAGTAAATGTTTTATTATTGCACTTCTTCTTGATTATGTTTATGATCACATGTATTCTAGTTTATTTTGGTTATTTTGTATGAATATGGATGTATATGTATGAAATTGTTTATGTAAAGGATAATCTTTAACAATGTTAATGATTTCGTAAGCATAAAAGGGTAAATATTCATAAACTAGTGAATGAGCAAAAAGCGCAACTAAAGCGCAACCAAAGCGCAACCAAAGCGCAACCAAAGCGCAACCAAAGCGCAACTAAAGTGCAACTAAAGTGCAACTAAAGCGCAGCTAAAGGGCAGCTAAAGCGCAACTATATCATCAAAAGCATATGTCATTATGGCTAAAAAGGATGACTGTATAAAAGATGAAATAAGTTATATATGGAGGATAGGCCCGCACAAGGAAAGGCGAAAGACCTGATGAGGTAAGCCTACACTCTTAATTCTAGAAGTTGAGAAATTTGACTCAACCCTGAATGAGAGAACAACTTCCATTCTAAAAAGTTGAGAAGTTAGACCCAACCTTGAATTGAAAAGTTGAAATGGTGCAAAAGTTATAGCCATTATATAACTTATTTAAAGATGTGGAATAATTTTGGTAAGATAAATAATACTGTTATGCACTTTCAGGCTCAATATGACATTTCAATATGTGTTTAACTATGTTAGCATTATTAAGTATTTCTTATTTGTTTATTATCATTTCTTATATATTGCTGGTGTATTTCATTGGGCAATAGCTCATTAGCAATGGTTGTACTGCAGGTAAGGGAAAGGAGTCCATAGGGCACTAGGCGAGAAAGAGGTGATCGTCTGTTTTTGATGTAAATATGTTTTGGAGCACAAGGAGATCTTAGAGGAGATCTGAATAATAGCTGTATAAACCTTTTGATATGTAAGTAAAATTCAAAAGTTTTAGTAGAGCTCTGTAAGTGTTTTAATATGTTGATGTTCAATAAGTAATATTACATGCTTCCTGTTGTTAAGTGTGGAGTTTGATATGTTGAAATCTTTCTCTGTTATACTCTAGTTTGTGGTAGAGGGTGAGCCAAACTGGGGTGTGACAGCTGTGTTCGCCGAGAGGGAGATGAGCGATTGCTGTGTTCGGCGATAGCAAGATGAGCGGGAATAACTGCTGTGTTCGGCGATAGCAAGATGAGCGGGAATAATTGCGATAGCGAGAGAGAGGAGTGGAATTCGTGCATGAGAAATGGAGTTGGATGAGGCGCTAGAAGAGGTTGCTCGGGGATATGCCGAAGGACGTGCGAACGTGGTGTTGGTAAATTTGACATTTCCGTGCGTAAACAGAGGTAGTATACGGAGTAAGCCGCAACCTTCCGTCTTTTCAGATCGGCAGAAATACAACGTTGTAGGGAAAGGAAGTTTACAGAAGTTGTGTTAACAAACACATCTATAACTGTTTTGAGCGATTCAAAACAGAAACGGCATAATAAAGTGCAAACAAACGAGGCCTAAATTACATGTTAATGGCTACCAAAAATGGACAAAAATAAGAAACAAAGGCATGTTAATCAAATTTAAAAAAAAAAGGATATAAAAAGATAAAAATATACACATGCGCATACATAAATGCTCTGTTGTTTGGAAGCACTGATCTTAAGTATATGCACAAGCTATAAGTGATGTGAAACCAAATGCGCAGGAGCTCATTAAGGAATTTAAGAATAAATTGGCAATGTAATTCCACTTAATAGCTTATTGTAATAACAAGGCAATTCAATAAAAAATCTTAGTTTTCCACTTGCTTAGGCGAAGGAGCACATGTAGGTTAACCAAATCTTGTAGATAAACAAAAATAGTAGCAATACGAAGAGCTATTAACCAACAATCCACAATTTAATAATGAGAGTTTTTACCTCGGGGATTGATCACTCAACTACACTAGACTTTGACGAGAGAAGATTTTGCACGTTATAATCGAGATCACCACTAAGAAGACGATGCCGGAGGTCTTTGTCCACAGGAAAGTAGTCGGAGTTGGTGGAGGGGCTGACCGTGGATGATCTAATCGTGGTCTTGGAATTCTCTATGTTGATGTCACAAAAGACGATCTCCGAACGTCCACACGTCCTTGGGAATCAAAGACTAATCTCTGATCGATGTTCGGATCGGCCATGCGTCTTTGAAATGGAGGTGGAAGGGCGTCATCTTCTTCTTCTCTTGGCTTCCAAATTCACAAGGGAGGGAGAAATGAAGGAGGCGACCAAGGTAGAGAGAGAGGGGGCGAGTGACTTTGGTGAGGGAATTTAGGTTAGGTGGGGGAGAGAATGAGATTTACTCAAATCTGAAATTAACTTCAGAATTTGAGTAAATTAGGAGGGAATCAATTTGAAATTGATTTCAAATTTCAAATAGAGATAAGGGGGAGTAATGGGCATTAAATGGGGCCCATCAAGAGGGGGGCCGGCGGGTTCTAGAGAGAGGGGAGGGAGTTATTTCAAAACATGAAATTAATTTCAGATTTTTGAATGAAATAGGGGGAAGATTAATTTGAAATTGATTTCAAATTAATGTGTAATCAATGCATTAATTGGTGGCTTGAATGGGGCTCCATTCATGGTGAGGCCGGCTGCTTCTAGAGAGGGGAATAGTGTGGGAGCCATTGAAGAGTTTCTAAATCGGCACATAGGATTTAGGAAAGATTATAATGAAATCCATTTGAATTTGAATTCCATCATGATGCGAATTTAAATACTTTCCTAATTAGGAATTTCCAAAATTTGAAAGTTTTGAAATTCAAAATTTGAATTTCAAATTGACTCCAATTTTTCCCTCTCAAGCCCAACAAAATTTGGAAGGAAGATTGATGAGTGAGAGCTTCATCACAATCGGAAAGGGAGCTTGGTGGGGGCGGCAGAAAGGGGAGGGGTGGATGGTTTGATTGCTTGCCATCGGGTTATGGTGATTTTGGTGGAGGGAGGTGAATTGGGTATGCTATTGAGTGAAAAGGATGTGAGTAAGTGGACGAAAATGTGGCCGGTGGCTTGGGAATGAGTTAGGGCCGGCGGGTAATGCTAGATAAGGAGAATTGGGATGGAGGAGGTAAAGGAAAGAAGACGAAGAAAATAAAGAGAAACCAAGAGCTCCACCAAGGGGCTGTTGGGTATTGCGTTGAGCCTCTCCTAGGCTAATCCTTACTCGAGAACTCACAAAGAGAACTCTAGAACTCACAAAGAGATCCAAAACCAAAGTTGAAATTTCATATCAATATTCATCATCCATATTACAATAGCAAGGACCTATATATAGGTCTCAACACAAAGAAGAAGCAAAGACCAAATTGCCATCGGGGCTACATCATGACTCAACTTATAGTAGGGGTACAATAGGGATACATAAATAAACTAAAAATGCATAAATAAATAAAAATATAAACTCTGAATCGATGTCCTCATCAATAAGTATGAAGAAAGAGAAGCAAACACCATGACTGAGTCCAAAAAAAAAGGCTAGAACATACCTTTGCAGCTAGTATGAAAATATCATTTGTGCCTGAATAGAAAAAGGAAAGAAAATAAAATATAAAAGAATAAATAGAACCACCTAGCTCCACAAAGTAATAATTTTCATAGAAGCTAATAAAAATCATATAATAGCAATGCATCAACGCCCCCCCTTTGCAATTATTTAAGCAAACTCCCGGGATAGAACTTTAACAACTGATGCAGTCAGTTATATAACATCAAAGATGATGAACTATAATGCATTTAAAATGGCATACCAAAGCATACTGCGAATTAAGAAATATTTCTTGCAATAAACTTACTGTTTGCATGTTCAGTAAATTTAACAATTGCAGCCTGCCTCAAGGAACAGGAGCTCTTCCCAGTGCATAGTAAAGAATGCATGGATTCCCAGTTAGAGTCAGCACATACTTTGCTACAAAACATTGGCAAGTTAATTGATCAAAACTAATGAAGAGTATGATAATAAACTGCAACAATGTGAAGCAACTATTGTCAAGTGGGCTTCTGCAAGAATACATTGATACTTTTTCTCCAACTCGTTCAAACACATCTTAAAAAAGTTGTGATCAATAAAATGTATAATTTCAGGAAAAGAAAACATGAATCTCGCATGAAGGACATTCAATTTGAAAAAACAAGCTCTTACCTGCAATAATACTCTTCTTCACAACCACCAGGACATGGAACAATAGAAGGTAAAGAAAATTGTTTTGAGAAAGGTAAAGATAGTTTTTCATTCATTAGTGACTCCAAAACCTCCTTCGAGGGAGAATTTTCTCCATAAGAACTTTGCCCGGCGTTATCGCTATTTTCCTGAAAGAGCAAATCATCTTCATTCTGAGATTCCGATGAACTTGATGCTGTTTTTTCGTTAGAAAATGTCTGGTGACAACATTCCTTTTTAACCAACAAGCCCAAACTTTGCAAATAGAGTTTTCGACCAATTTGAAGTTCCACTGAACCAATGAACCGAAAACAGGAGCTACATACAAAACAATCAACCTAAAACATGGAGGAAAAACAAGTTCAGGCATCTAGAAACTTCCAAAACTCGGCTGAAAAAGAATCTAGACAAATCGATAAAAAAAAAAGATGGATGCTAAATAGATTCATTAAATAGTTTAAATCTGTTTATTCAGGAGAAAGCACAAGTAGTTTATAGCATAGATATATATGAAAGCTCGACCAGGAAAAGGACCTTGTTAGAACTATGCTGAGCAGCCACAAGAATTTGATCCTTAAATATGAGCTCCTCTTCCTCAAATTTCCTGTTCGAAAAGACACCTGAAATCACAAATATACAGTGTTAGTCGCAGTAAATTTTTTTTGTGAGAAGGGGGGGACTGTTCAAAAGACTAGGTTCCTGCATGTACATAGGTACTGCTACCCATAAAAAGGACCCTCCACCAAATTCAGTAAAGATGTATCAAAGAAGAAAAGAAACAGCGTGCAAGCAAACATGGGCATATTACAATGGTTTTCCTCCAATAAATAGTGATAATCATATGCAACCAATACAAAAATGTGATCATATTCAACATATGCTCTTAATAGCTTTGGCAAATATTGCTCACAGGTAATTGGATTGATAAGCTACGTACTAACAATAACATCTTTATTGCTGTGAAAAACATGCCAAATAGTTGTAAAAGTTAACAGTATAGACTTCTGAAACCATTGCTTGGCAAATTATATCAATAAACTCCATTAGATATGAACAGCCAAAATGCAGTTTTACGGAAATCTAAAATAAGGGTATATCCAACGCACGAAGTTTTCCATCAATAAGAATATTGGAAGGGGATTGATATATATAGCCTTACCCTTGCATTGCAAAGAGATTGTTTAATTACCTTGACCTCCGACTAAAAATGGAAGCAACCTAACCATTGCTCTAGGCTAGTCCTCTAGTTAAAGTGATCGATTAAAAACATACTATACATGTACTTACAAATAGAATGTTATAAATGCAAATAATTTAACTCTCCATTTATGAAAGTTATAGAGAACTATAAAACATTTGTGATGCAACCATGCATTCATATAATATAACAAAAACAGTGCTAATTATATCATTTAATCATTATCAATACAGAATTATGCAGAAAGAATTAAGCATCAACTTCATTTCTTTTCAACTCATATTAACGGCTCAAAAAAATGTCATTTTTTTAAATAAAAAATAATAATGGTAAGGACAACTACAGCGTAAAAATATTATGCCTTTTGATACCTTTACAATCCAATAGTGAATAGTTCCTTCATTTATTTTATTTTTTACTTGTTTATCCTTCTGTCATTCCCCTTTTCCATATCCGTCATATTTTTATCTTTCTATTTTGTTGTTGGAGAACAAAATTTCATCAAAAGTTATGCTGGATACACACACACACTTCCAAATTAAAATTACAGATGAATGGATTTACATGTTAATGATTAGAGGTGCACTATGTAGGGTTTGACAAGGTTTGGGGGAAAATAAAACCAGAAAGTCCTTTGAAACTACCTACCCAAATCCGAACTGACAATCAAGATAACCTCATTGACTCAAATTAGAATTTCCGGGTCAGGTCAAACCAAGTCAGTAATTTCATGTAACAGTATTCAAGCCACAAGGACTTTTCCACCTAAATCTAACAGAGAAAGGGAATGAAATATAGTTGATTTCATTATATAGTCAAATCATTACCCAAGCCAACCAACTTACCAAACTAGGTCAATTCAGCTAGATGGGTGTGTTGCCCATGCCTCATTCTATTGATAATATATATTGACCAACTTTTCTTTATTTAAAGTTCACAATCCAAGAGTTCTACTCATCTTGTTTCTTAACTATCGACTTTCGTAAAAAAATATATGGCAATTTGTGCATATAATCTAAAAAATCTAAGACCCTTGGTTGAAAGCCTGTAAAGCAAACCCTAAAAGATTTTAGCAAAAATAGGACAATTGTTAGTCCAACTAGAAGTCTACAAGAATATTTAAATGGTTTTTTTTTTTTTTATGTCATGTATAGTACCAAATTTAATCAGAAAAAATAAAACACCCGTGTAAAATGGGAAAAACTTCGTTCTTTTCCATTACGAAATAATGTACCCTAAAGATCAACAGCCATGTGAACATGCATAGAGAGAAATGCATATTTTTCATTCTTTACTTTCATTAACACATACATAAAAAATTCAGAATAGGATGGTCTTGGTAATTTGATAGAGTTGAATGAAAAATTAATATTTTTAGCAAATACCTTTCCCGTGCTCCGTGTTGATTTCTATTCTGACGGCATGGCATTTTTCTTTTTGTATGAGCCCTTCGTAATATTCCTGATGTACATAAAAAAGAACGCATTTTGATTATGGTTACACTACAGATGACAATAATTAAACCAAACTAAATTGTTTAAGGAATTACGTTAATATCATCAATATCTTATCTATTTACATAGTCAACGCCAAATTCACCATGGTTACACTTTAGCATTCAAACCCTTTACCTCTTCCAAAATAAACATCCTAATTCAAATCTTTTTTTCAAATTTACTGCACAACTTAAAGCATCCATGATTTAAACATTTTGTTTATTTAACCATCCTCTATGACTATTAGACAAGTTTTACGCTAAATGTCAATTGTCTAACGTAACCCTCCACTTTTCTCATTCAAAACTTGGGACCTTGCAACGACAATGTGCATACTAGGGTGTTCCTTGGGAGCGACATGTTGTATGGCCTGAAAATAACAAAAATTTTGCAAGGGCAACGACATCAGTGCCCTAGGTGCAGAGTTAAATAGGCAAGGGTTTCCACATCATAGGCAGATATGGACAAAGAAGCTAGTCCGTGAAACTAAAATTAGAATTGAAATTTGAAATATAGGTTCCCTTACAAAAAATTAATAGAATTAATATATATTATGATTCATAGAAAGAAAAATATTCTAAGCATTCAGAAAACTAAATGGATTGGAGAGAAGGCTAAATAGATTGATAGTTTAGGATTTAAACTATGGTATTCTGGTAGAAGTCATACTAGAAATAGTATAGGCGTGATTATAGATAAAAGTTTGAAGAATAATATTATAAAAACTAATAGAATTGGAGATAGAATTATAGCTTTATAAATTGTTCTTGATGCTAAGATTATTAACATTATAAATACTTATGCTCCTCAAGTAGATTGGGATATGTGTTCAAACTTAAAATTTTAGAATAACTTAAAAAAACTAATATAAGATACCTCTTTAAGAAAGAATTTTTATTAGATGAGGTTTAAATAGACATAGTAAAGATATAGATGATTTTAAAAGCATTCATGGTGGCTATGGGTATGGAGCGACTAAAAAATGTGGTAAGATCATATTAGATTTTTTTCTTTAGCATATGATATTGTAATTGCTAATATCTTATTTAAGAAAAGATATGAACATCTCATCACTTATAAGAATGGATAAAGTAAAACCCAAATTGATTATTTTTTATAAGAAAATAGATCGTTTAGATTGTAAAGATTGTAAAGTTATTCCGAATAAAGGTTTATGTATCAAACATCGTTTATTGGTTTTGGACTTTAAGATTAAATGGCAGAAAATAAAAAATAAAGTAAAATGTTATTCTAAGATTAGATGGAGACATTTAAAGAATATTAATAAAAATATTTTTTAATGTAAGATTCTAGATCTTAAAATTTTATCTGCGCATGAGAAAATTAACGTTATGTGAAAAAAAGTAGCTAGTGATATTAAGAAAGTTGCAAAAGATATGCTTGGAGTATCAAAGGAAAAAAGCTCATAATAATAATAATAATTGGTGATGGAATCAAAATGTGCAAACAAAGATAAAAAATAAGAAGATTTATTATAAAAATTAATTTATATGTAAAAATTTTGATAATTGAGAAAGATATAAAGAAGTCCGTAAGGAATCTAAGAAATCAATATGTAATGCAAAGATTTTAGCTTTTAATGAATTAAATAATATATTAGATACAAAGAATAACGAAAGATATATGTATAAGTTAGTCAAACAAAGAGATAGGAGTAGTAAAGATTTAGTTGAAGTGAAAATTAAGCATGAAGACCAAAAAGTGTTTTTATTAGAAAAAGATATTTAACAAAGATGGATGAGATATTTTGTTAAACTTTTTAATAAAAAATGTAAGAATGCAATTTAGTTTAGTAACTTTAGCACCCTAAATAAAAATTAAAATTTTTGTTTTTATCAGTGTATTAGTAAAACTAAAGTTAGAGAGGCTTTAAAGAAAATAAAGTGTGAAAAAGCTGTTATACCTGATGATATTCTAACAAAGGTGTGGAAATGCTTAGGAGATGAAGCAATTTCTTGGCTTACTAAATTTTTTAATATTATTTTGATTACTAAACTTTTTAATATTATTTTGAACACTAAAAAGATGTCATATGAGTGTATTGATTCATATTTTTAAGAATAAAGATTATGCACAAGATTATGCAAATTATAGAGTAATTAAGTTCATGTGCCATACTTTAAAACTATGGGATAGAGTTATGGAGCATAGGTTGCGACGTGATACTAATGTTTCTCAAAATCAATTTGGATTCATGTCAGATAGGTCTATTATAGAAGCTATAAATTAATTGAGAGGTTTGATGGAGAATTATAGAGAGAATAAGGAGGATCTACATATGATATTTATTGATTTAGATAAAGCATATGATAAAATTCCAAAAGAAGTGCTATGGAGGGTTCTAGAAAAGAAAGGGCAAAATAATGCTTATATTCAAGTCATAAGGATAAGTATTTTCCTATTTTAGTTGGACTACATCCAGGATGAGCCTTAAGCTTATATCTTTTCTCTTTAGTCATGGATGTTCTCACAAGACATTTGCAAGAGTTTACCCTCAATATTGAAGGACTTCCTTTGGACCTGATAATAGATCATGGCAAAGGGACTATCTCGCTTTAACCATACTCATGAAGTTGACATGAATGGCCTTTCAGAGCTATAGCAAATGTTGCTCCCCAGCCAGAAATCGCTTCCCACATATGGCGATAAACTGTTACGTTCTAAAAAATTCATAGTGATAGAGATATATAGAATTTAACATTCTAGTTTTATACGAAGATCCAGCACACAAACAGATAAAAGAGAGGAGTGCAGCGTCTAGAAAAGACACCATAATTTTTATGTGGAAACCCCTTAAAAGGGGGTAAACCATGGGGTCTAATCCAATTGAAATGATTTCATTAATTTTGGTGGTTGATTACAAATAATGCCCTTCTCGGAGGAGAGCTTTGGCTCAATGAAATAAATACACATTGTATAGAGCACATTATATAGTTAGAGAATGACATGATAGTTGTTCTCAAGAGAGAGTTGTCCTACTTGTTTGGTTGGTAGGGTCGTATTCAGATAATGATGTGGTTAGAAGGATCGTAGTCGACAGGTCATGGAGATCGAAAGGACCATAGTAGGGTAATGGAGGTTAGAATGACCATAATCGGGTGACGATGGTCGGAAGAACCGTAGTCTGGCGATGGAGGTTAGAAGGGACGTAGTCGGGCGATGGTGGTCGGAAGGGCCATAGTCATGCAACAATGATAGGAGAGATCGTAGTTGGCGGGCGACACAAGTTGGAAGGACCGCAGTTGGGCCACGGTGGTCAGAGGAACTATAGTTGGCGAGCAATAGAGATCGAATGGACCGTAGTCAGGAGACGATAGGGGTGTCAATTTTTGACATGACCCAAAACCCGACCCAGAAAAATCTAGATTCAGGTTGACCCGGTTAGCAAACGGGTCGGGTTCGAATTTTTGACCCATTTCAAAAACGGGTCAGGTTCGGGTTGACCCAGAAACCCGAAATCAACTCGACATGACCCAAAAGTCGGAGACCATTCCAGATTTCCGCCCGCACTCGCGCAGCCCCAAGGACTCCACCCGCTGTCGCTCGATCACGACTCCGCCCGCACTCGCGGCCCCGCAAACTCCGCCCGCAACCGCGCGCTCACGACTTCGCCCGTTGCTGTGCGTTCACAACTCTGCCCTCACTCGCGGTGTAAAACCCCTCCAAATTTTATTTTTTTAGTGCAGTTAGTCTGTACAAACTGACCTTAGCACTGGACGAACTGAAGAAAATTGTGAAAATATGTATGGTTAGTACGTACAAACTGCCTGTACGAACTGAGTAAAGTGCAGGTTCGTCCGTACGAACCTGAGATCGTCCGGGACGAAATTTCTCCCGAGAGCATCGTCCAGAGACGAAAGAAATTGGAATTAATTTTCGTCTGTACGATTTTTGTCCAAAGAGTTTCGTCCCGGGACGAATGAAAGACATCGTCGGGACGATCAAGTTTATTAAATAGATATTTTGAGATATTTTTGAAGAGAGAGAAAGCTGGAGAGAGAAAGAGAAGAGAAAAGCTTGGTTTCAGAGGCCGCGGAGCGATTTTTTATCCGACGCCGTTGTTGGAAGAATTGTTTGTTTCACTGTAAGGAATCTGAATCCTATTTCTGATTTCGAAGGTTTCGTATTTTGGTATTTTTCTGCTCAGTTTTGTGTTTCTGTTACCGAAATTCTTGCATATCTCTGTATTGATGTAACTTTTACTGCGTAACTTTTGGTATGTTGTTGAAATGATGATTTTACACGATTTAAGTATTTTCTTGAAAGTTTTCACCGGATATTTTGAATTCTGTGGGATTTTTATCAAATAGAACATTATCTGGATGTTGAAAAATAGTGCTTCAGTACAAGTAAAGTTTTGAAACGTTGTTTTACACGATTTCTAGTAATTTGGTAATTTTCTGAAACTGTGTATTTTTATCCTAGTTATGATTTATGTCGACTGTACGATATTTTAAGGACTTTCTTCAATTGAGATTGTGTTTGTTGATTTCAATGTATTAATGAGATGTATATGAATATGGATATATGATTGAATATACTACTATTCTGTAAGACAAGTAAAGACTGGTTGAACCGTTGGTTGGAGATTGACCTGTACAGAATGGTGGACCGACGGGCTTTCCTTTAAAAAGGGTTTGGTGTTATCCTCTATTGATCATGTGATATAACGATTGGGAGTCATAAGGAGATTACTGTGCCGACGGGCAAGGATGACGACTCTATTTACTGAGCCAACAGACTACTAACCTTGAAAACACTTTAATATACAGTGATTGTACTTGTTAAGTAAGATTATTATACTGAATGCATGTTTAAAGTATTGCTCTTATGATTTCTTTATGGATTTATTGATATTGAATAGAATTACTGACGGATTTGTGAGTTTACTGTCACTGCACGATTTCATTGATATTGCATATTGTTTACCGATTCTACTACTGA